AGCGTGAGGTTTTCTTACCCATTTAAGAAAATTTTAGACTACCAAAATTTTACAAGCTCTCAGTAACACTGGCCATTTGGTACAGCTCTCCCCCTTCGCTCAGTGGCCGTTGACAGCTCTGCCCCCTTTCCTTCTGGCAGGTGGCTCTGTTTTCTCTGTGTCGAGGTCATTTGGATCTCACAAGGGGAAAATAATAAGGATCTTTCTTTTCTTTCCGAATCTTTCTTTTCCTGCTTGATCATAGTTCTGTGAAAACAAATTCATTTCTTTTTCTTGTCTAGATTGAAATTGGAAGAGCGAAGGAAAGAGCTGCTACAGAAACTTGAAGAAACTACTAAATTAACTACATATTTGCATTCACAACTTAAAAAGTAAGCCTGTTTGGTTCTTGAGGGGAAGATTTTTCTTGACTGCATTCAGGCATGTTGTAGTTCATCTTTGATTACTTTTCTCTTTATTTTCAATGACTTAGAAGTAGGAAAATTGTTATACTAATACAATTAAAACTCGGATGACCAAATTTAAAGATGCAGGGATTTGGGTTTGGGATTTTTTTGTTTCATGAACCCCAAGGTCCTCTTTGGAATATGTTTGAAATGTGTTGGGAAGAAGATGTATTTCAACTATCAGGACATACTTAGGAAAAGGACACATTTCTCCACGTCATCCCTTTTAAAAAGGGAAGGTGGGGGAGATTTGCCCTAAAACAGCCACAGATTCATTCCTGAAATATACATAGAAAGAGGAGGACACCGAGTGAGCCCAGGGGCCTTTGTCTTTAGAAGCTGGCCTCTTCCTTTCTCAAAATAAAAAGTTTGATTCTTTAAAAGTAAAGTCACTGCATTAACCCTTCATGCTGTTGGGTTCATTACACCTCCCTCCCACTTCTGTATTTTTTCTTAGTCTGCCATGGTGCTTTTTTTTTTTTTTTCGGTACGTGGGCCTCTCACTGTTGTGGCCTCTCCCGTTGCGGAGCACAGGCTCCGGACGCGCAGGCTCAGCGGCCATGGCTCACGGGCCCAGTCACTCCGCGGCAGGGGGGATCTTCCCGGCCCGGGGCACGAACCCGTGTCCCCTGCATCGGCAGGCGGACTCTCAACCACTGCGCCACCAGGGAAGCCCAACTTCTGTATTTTTTCTTAGTCTGCCATGGTGCTTTTTTTTTTTTTTTTCGGTACGTGGGCCTCTCACTGTTGTGGCCTCTCCCGTTGCGGAGCACAGGCTCCGGACGCGCAGGCTCAGCGGCCATGGCTCACGGGCCCAGTCACTCCGCGGCAGGGGGGATCTTCCCGGCCCGGGGCACGAACCCGTGTCCCCTGCATCGGCAGGCGGACTCTCAACCACTGCGCCACCAGGGAAGCCCAACTTCTGTATTTTTTAATTGCGTAGTTGCTTCTGGATATTTATGCAGATAGATTTATCAATAGGTATTTGATCCCTTTTAAAATTTTTTGTAACTTTTGCACAAGGGGGATGATTTTTAATGAGTAGGATTGCTGCTTAAAGAGTCTTTAGAAAGTCAGGTTGGAAGCATTCACGAATAAGCTTGGAAACGTGTGGGGTGACAGCAAATTCTCTTACCCCGGTCGTTGACTCTGCTCTTTGGTGTCACTGGGTTTCTTTCCTCTCGGCCCGAAGGAGCCGGCAGGGATCTCCACATCATCCCGGTTTTTACAGCTGTGCTTTCCCCTCCCAGCCTCTCCGCCAGCACCCTGTCCATGTCATCCGGGAGCAGCCTGGGCTCGCTGGCCTCCAGCCGGGGGTCTCTGAACACGTCCAGCAGAGGGTCCCTCAACTCCCTCAGCTCCAGCGAGCTCTACTACACCAGTCAGGGCGACCAGCTGGACCCGGATTATCAGTATAAACTGGACTTCCTCCTGCAGGAGAAAGGTGGCTACATTCCTTCCGGACCCATCACCACCATCCACGAACACGAAGTGGCCAAGTCCCCCAGCCAGCCTGGCCGGAGCGGTCCCTGTGTGGCAGCGGCCGCGGCCCCGGGCCGCGCCCCCGCCCTGCCCGAGGCCCCCACGTCCGTGGCGTCCCTGTCCTCCCGGTCCTCCCTTTCCTCCCTGTCCCCACCGGGCTCTCCCTTGGTCTCAGAAGGCACGTTCCCCCTGTCTCCCCACGACGTCGTCCCTCTGCATCACTTCTCTGCTGACCTTGAGGACTGTGAACTGAGCAGCCGCTTTGCAGACATCGGCCTCGGAGAAGATCAGCCGTTGCTGGACTCTGACCCAGGAGGAGCGCCCCCGTCTCTCTCAGAGGATAAGGACCTCGCCGAACGCGCCAGGGCGCTGCCGCATGAAGGGCCTGCAGGTAAACGGAGACCCTTGCTCTCGCGCATCCCTCTTGACCATTTCACGGAGAGCGACTGGAGATTACGTTTTCCACGGAAACAAAGGGTATATGTCCCCCTTCTCTTTCTGCTGCTCTTTTTTCATTTTGGCTTCATTTGGGAAAGAATGTTTATTAATAAACCTACACATTTTTTCTTTATCAAAAGCAAATCCCCTTCCGTATTTGATAGATTTAATCATCGAGCATCCACTCTGCTGTGTAGAACCCCACTGTGTGTGGCATCTGCCCGGGAACACGTTTTGTGAACGTACTGCATGCTTCCAAATAGGTTCTGGTTCTGAAATAGCGAGAAAGGGAAGAGGACCTTCTCTTCAAATTTGGCCTAAGAGAGATGAAAACCAAGGCAATTAGCATACCAGCTAATTAGTACCAAGGTTCAATGTTTAGGTTGCTGTGGGAATTCTATAGAAATACGATGAGTTTTGTTTCATGCCGGACTCTCCCTCTCTGCGGAAAGTTAATGGGGAGAAAGCCGGTTCCCATGCGTGGTGTCACCCTGCCCTCTTCTGGCCACGGTACTAGTTGCAGCCCAAGAAAGCGCAGTGGCCTGAGTTCTTACTGCTGCATCTGTGCTCACAGAGACCCAAACAGAGGGAGAATTTAATATTTCTAATTGTTTACCTTTGCAAGGCAGAAGGTTTTACTATACTAGATGTGGTTGTAAGGAGAACGGGATGGTACCTTGTTTGGCAAATGATCGCAGTTGGGCTCCGAGGAGCCAGCCCCAAACCAAATGAGAAACAAAGTCCAGCGCTGGTCCCAGGAGGCCTGCTCAGAGCCACACAGGCCCCTGCATGTCCACAATGCAGAAGACAGGCTTTTTAGAAGAATTTTCCTGCTGTTTCCATAAGCATATTTATTTTGTACTTTTGGTCCTAGGAATTCTAAGTATTAATTGATTGGCCATTTCAGATGTTTAGAGAGGTAGAGGGATCCATCTCATTTGTGTGGTTTCAAATACTGAAGACTGAACCACCACCTGCCAGTGGCCTGGGGCAGAGATAGAGCATAGGAGATGCTGTGTGGTTTGTGTGCTGCCTGCCTGGCAGGTGCCAACAAGTGGTATGTTATTGGAATAATAACCGCAAAGAAAATAACACAGGAGCTCTGCTTACCTAATGGCTCCAGCAAAGCAGAAACCTGCCTTGAGGCCTCGCGTGTGGCCTGGTGCATGCTGCCCCTGAAGCCAGCCCGGACCGCCCTCGCATCGCAGTGGCCCCGTAGGCCAGCGGTGTTCCGGCGAGCACATTACCCGGTCTCTCAGGCTTGTTGTTCCTCGTCTGCAAAGCGGGCACGAGGCAGTATCTACGCTGTGGGGTGCCGGAAGGGTTAGCGCTCTCATTATGCATCTGAAGCACCCAGCCGTGCCTCGTTCTCGGCAATCAGCTCACAGTAATTAATATTAACTGTATGACACTAAGGAATACAAAAACTCTGCTAAACCCAGTTCCTGTCACAAACCACCGACATTCACGAAGGGAGGACAGAGCAAGGGAGAAAGAAGGAAGGAAGTGGAGTGGTTTCATGCCACTCTTCTGTGCTCTGGACCTGAAGGATCTTACAGTTCTTGAGCATTTCAAAGCTGTTTTTGCTCTTCATGTACTTGGAGTGTTCTCTAGTGACCACCTGTCCACATTCAGTCAGTTTGGAGGGGCCAGTAAATGAGGCTGCATGCTGGAGAAGCACGAGATGAGGGAGAGAAACTCCCGGGGTCTGCCCCGCCTGGCCATCCTGAGGCACGGATGTCCCTGCACTTCCCGCAGCGTCCGACGCCTCGCTCCCTACCCTTGATCTGCTCCCGTGTCTGTCTGAGAGGTCTGTGCCTGCAGAATGGTATCTCCAGAGTGTCCATGAAACAACGTTTAACTTTTTAGGTGCACGTTAGTTAGAAAACTGCTGTTAAAAAGTCACACTAGGGGAAAATATATCCAAGAGCTTTGTTTGCAAGTAATATTCAGTTTCACATGTGAAAACAACCGAAAGCATATATTTAACCCTAAAGACTAATTCTCTCCAGGCCAGGTCAGCCACACGCGGTCTATGCGGGGGATGTCTGACCTTGGCATGGGGGCAGGTGGCTCATGATAGTGACACTGGTCACCTCATCAGTGCTCTAGACTCTTGTTCCGCTACAGTTGAGTTCCTTTTATATATATTTGACTGTCCAGCACCAGTCCCTGCTGGATGGCAGAAATCAAGTTGGAATAACTGCGAAGTCCTTCCGCAGTCAGTCTCTGTCATTGTCAAAGTCAACTTCAGGCTTCTGTGGTTATTCCTGGGGGTAATCAATAAATCATGTCGTCCTTCACCCCTCACAAAGAGGGGTGGGCGGAGAGAAGGCCCTTCATCATGGCGGGGGGGGGGGGGGGGGGCAAGGACCATAGGGTCCTGCTCTGTTTCACTATGACAAGATCAGGGTGTAGCAAGAAAACTCTGGATAGCTGTTTATAAAGGTCTCCTAGGGTGACATTAGCTTAGAAATTGGGGGGGGGGGGGAAGAAGCATTCCCACTGCCAGAAATAAAAGGGAAAGTGCAGCAATCAGTCCTGTAATCTGAAGCCTTAAAATTTAAACATCCTAACAAGATGTAAAGTCATGACTCAGAAGGGGGCGAAACGCATACCAATATTGATCCCCATCGCCTGCCTGAGGATGAAAGAACGCCATGGGCTTGCAGCTTATTACACAGGAACACAGCTTTAAAAGAGGCTCCCTGCTCTCTGCAGGTTGCCGGGGTATGAATATGAGTCAGAGATAAAAGTTAAGTGGTGGTTGGTGAAGATTCAGTAGCACAAAGTTTTTAATGGTATTAGCCAGTGAGGAATTCTGTAAGTCAAAGACTCTGTCTTTAATTTCTATTAGAGCAGCAGCTCAGGAGATGGAGGCTGGAGAGAAGGGGCGAGCAAAAGAGGTGGAAACCTTTCTCTCCATTGAGCCCTAGAAGCTCTCTTATAGAAACGTCTCCAGTACCTGAGGGAGGCAGACAGCTTCTTACCCCCGACTGTGTTCTCTGCAGCGAGTACTGAGAAGGGGGAGGCAAGGGGCCCAGGAGAAAGTGTGCAATTGATCCCTTCCCTTAAAATATCCAGGACAGAGGAACAGCCGATTCTTTCTCAAATAACTGGCATCCCAGGAACCTTATAAGTCGCAGTGCCTGGAATCCTTCACTTCTGTTGATTTGAATAGTAGCATCCTTGATTCTCAGGTCGAAAGTTCATTTTGGATTTCTCAGAACCAAACCATGTGTGCATTTTGTACTTAACTTTTTCTAATTAGTGCTGTCACTCTCCCCTCCCTAGATGTGGAAAAATCATTACCAAAAAGAAGAGGAATCCACTTGCTTGGGGAGAAAACCACTTGCGTGTCGGCTGCGGTCTCGGATGAGTCCGTGGCCGGGGACAGCGGGGTCTACGAAGCTTTCGTGAAACAGTAAGGACCCAGCGCGGTGCCCTCTCCGCGCACCCGGGCGTGGGGTGACAGACCCCGGGAGCACACTGCCCTTATTCCTCTCTCTGCAGGGGAAAGGGCTGTAGGCCTTAAAGAAGTGTCAGGCTGAAAATTCCAGGGATGCCAGAACATCCCATCAGCAGGGAAATGAGGAACAGGCCGATGTGCTCAAAGGCAGCCAAGCCTCTTAGAGCCGTAAACTCGTTTTCAATGAGAGCGTTGCAGGGCTTGCCCAGTGCCTGTTTGGCGCGTCGTGAAGCGTTTCGTGTATGCAGATTTCGGAAAGCCTGGTGTATCTGGGGTGCCATACACCCCGGGGAGGCTCTGGAAGCCCAGGCACCAGAAAGTCATTCCCCTCAAGGCCCAGACGCAGACTCCTCTTGACAAGGTGAAGCAAGACTTTTAAAAGTGAGCTTGCACTGGGGTCAGGTCCACTGGCTAGTAGAGGAGTGCTGTTTTTTGTTTTGTTTTGTTTCATTTTTAGCTATGCCGTGTGGCTTGCGCGGTCTTAGTCCCCTGCCCAGGAATGGAACCCGTGCCCCCTGCTTTGGGAGCGCAGAGTCTTAACCACTGGACCACTAGTGAAGTCCTGAGGAATTCTGTTAGTTCAGGTTTCCATTCAGAATCAGTAAGTGGCAGACCACAAGCATAGCTCTGCATGTTTCCGTTCACGAACGTTCACCTGCACCTGCTGTTCCCCTGCCCCCAGGCCCAGTGAAGTCGAAGATGTCCTGTACAGTGAGGAGGACGTCGCCGTCACGGAGACGGCCCAGGTGCAGATCGGACTCAGGTGCGGATGTGCGCAGGAAGGGGCGCGTCTCGCCTCCGTGCGGTGACAAGTGACCCATACGCTTCCTTATCTCATCAGCTTCTCTTTTGACAGATATGATGCAAAAAGGTCAAGTTTCATGGTGATTGTAGCACAGCTCCGAAATCTTCATGCCTTCCTGATACCTCACACTTCAAAAGTGTAAGTAAAATCAGTGGAGGACAAATCAAAGAACTTAAGATTGTCCGTATGAGAATTTTGCATCGTAATGTAGCAATTCATCCAAGTGAAGATGTGGGAAAGACATAGCAGGGCTGACTGTGTCTTAATCGGCACTAGATAAAGGCGAAGAGGGGGTGATATGGGCCGATCCCCTCCTTTGGTTTTATGAACCGTGCAGGGAGGAGGGAGGGCATATGGGGGTGTTGCTTGATCACCCCAGAGAGCCCGCTTCCCAGCACTGAGGTTAGGGATACCTGTCAGTAGTATTCAGGGAGGACCGGCTGGTGATACCATTCGTGACTTCTCCCTCCTGATAAGTATGCTGAGATCTTGGGGCACACTGTGGACAGCCTCTTAATCTTCGAGTGGCCTGTCAGGGAAAGGACAGCCAACCCACAAGTCCAGGCAAAACTACAGAATCCCCCAGGAACACGAACTTGCATGAAGCCCCTGACGTCGGGATGGGGCTGCCGGCAAACGTCCCACCTCTGCCAGAGCACGGCACACACAGGAAGTCGCAGGTGGCCTCCAGAGTGCGATGCCAGGCCTCTGCTCCCGGCTGCCCTGCAGTCGCTTGTCTGCCTGGCCTGACCCTTCCTGAGCGCATGGCAACGTGTTCTTAAACCCATAACGAAAGCCTTGCCCTAAATATTGACACTGCTCAAGATGACAACTAGCATGAAATATCCTCAGAATCGTTCTTTCTTTCTCCTAACATCAAACCTTTTTTTTTGATTATTAATGACGACAAGCAGAGTTGATGGCGTCAGCGGGTTGGCGGTGGCCACGGGGTCTCTGTGAGTGACCCCCAACCCCCTCCCCAGCAGCAGAACGAGAGGAAAAGCACCCCAACTTTCCTTCCCCTATGCCTTTTGTTCCTAACCCTGTAAAACCTCACTTTCTTCACTCGGAACCATTTGAGGATGGTGTAAGTAGTTAGGCCACCGGGACAGGGTGAACTGAGTCTGGAGAAACAGAACATCCCGTCCCTCCCGCCCGCCTCTCTAAAATACCTCCCTTTGTTGCTTTTCCATGAAGGCAGGGAAAGAAGATTTCTTCTGCTGCATCTCCAGCCTTAACGACTGTGGCCCAGGGTCCACTAGGTTTTTAATGCTGAATCTCCATGATCAATGTTGATACAAAATACGGAAATAATATGGCCTTCCTCAGTTCTTCATGTGAATTTACAGTTTTTATAATTGGAGAAAGATGCTCTTTAGAATATGAATTAGAAAGCCTGGAAATGGGGGGAGTGGGGAGGGATTTAATGGGTGTTCTCTTTCTGGTATTTAAAAGAAGATACCTCATGCTGTTTCCAGGAATTGTCAATCCTCGTGTAATGCGTGCTCAGAAAACTCACTTTTAAAGTAGTATTACTACCCAGTGTAAAACAGATAGCTAGTGGGAAGCAGCCCCATAGCACGGGGAGATCAGCTCGGTGCTTGGTGACCACCTAGAGGGGTGGGATAGGGAGGGTGGGAGGGAGGCTCAAGAGGGAGGAGATATGGGGAGTATGTATACGTATAGCTGATTCACTTTGTTATACAGCAGAAACTCACACACCATTGTAAAGCAACTATACTCCAATAAAGATGTTAAAAAGAAGAGTAAAAAAATAAATAAATAAATAAAATAAAGTAGTATTAGAAGTTATTGTTTTTCTCTGACTCTTCCTCGAAATACGACAAAGCATAAAACGGTTTGTCATATCTGAGACTTCTGAGATGCTAGGCAGTGCTTTTTTTGAACTGTTAAAATTCATCTGTTTTAAATTTTCTTAACAACGTGCTACTAGCATTTCTTTTCCTCTAGTAGGATAATGTATTCCATTCCTGGGGAATGACCGTCAGCAGTTCTTGTTTAATATGCAGGATGAGTGTCCTTTGGGACAAAGTCACCCGTGTCTACTTGGTGTGTTCCTGCTTTCCCAGGTTCAGATGGCAGTCACTGTGGAATTGTCAGGACACGGGCAGGTGGGACGTAAATCCGTCTGCCCCGTGGTCTTCGTTCCTCTCACTTCCCTACCACGTGCCTTTGCTGCACCCCCAGGGCAGGCGGCAGGCTCGGCCTTGCATGCTCCGGAGCACCGGCGGGTTAAGAACAGAGCCTCTGTGCCCCTGAGCATGACGACCATGGTGGCAGCAGAGCTTTGGGTTGAGATGAAGTCCGTGTCCCTGTGCTTCTCTCCCAGGCAGATAACTTTCAAACACCAGCTGTGAATCCAATATAATTGAACCAGTGAAATCCATTTCATCCTTGTTCTTTGCAGATACTTTAGAGTTGCTCTGCTTCCCTCCTCAACTGATGTCAGCTGTCTGTTTCGAACGAAAGTCCATCCAGCCGCGGAGTCCCTGTTATTCGGTGATGTGTTCAGAGTGGCCATCTCCCAGACAGCCCTGCAGCAGAAGACGCTGAGGGTGGATCTGTGCTCTGTCAGCAAACACCAAAGGGAAGAGTGCCTGGTAGGACTTTTCATCATCTCCATCATCAGATAACACTATCGGATATTCTGAGAATAATTTTCCAGTTGTTGTTTTGCCAGCCTCAATACTTCTGCCGATCTGCCCAATGCCTCAGACACACCCAACAGTGGCTTCATTTTTTATCTGAAGTGGTGATTTCTGGTTTCCATTCTCTTATTCCAGACCTTTCAAATTTGCTTAGAAATTATGATTCTCTGTAAAACCTACTTTTTATTTCTAACCTTTAGATAAAGAAGAGCTTTGGCCTCTGTTATGACCATCACTGTGGAGTATGCTTATTATTCCCAATATGAGTCTGGTGTTTTCTATACACTATCTCATTTAATCCTCTTGACAATCTTATGAAAAGGGTATGATGACCCCTATTTTCAGATGAAGAACTGCTTAGGGTCACACAGCTCATCAATGATGGATAGATATCAAAAGGACATCCCACACCTAATTGACTGCTACAGATTTAAGCAGGACACTGAGTATAGTTCCTTCATTCAGCTCGTTCTCCCAGCCATGGTGTTAGAGCTTCTAGGAAATCTTAAGTGTTACTGTTTAGAGCAATAGGATATTTAAATACTAATGCAGAAGACTTCGCACATAACTAATAGCAAGTTTAACACATCATTGTGCACAATGACCAGAGCAGCATTACACACCAGTAGAGTTACATAAGGTGTTCAAACGCACGTGTCTAGAGGTGTGCCCAGGTGTTCAAGAAACACTGCAGTCTCCAGTTGAAACCCGTGTAGTTCTAGGGTCAACCGTAATCCCAATCTAAAACCCAACCCTGGGATTCTTTTGTGGTCCGCTTATACACAGATTTTTTTTTTTTTTCTCTAAATTCACACTATAGTACTACATGATCCGTGGTTGGTTGAATCTGGGGATGTGGAACCTGACACGTGGAGGGCCAACTGTAAAGGCAGACTTGGATTTTCGACTGCAGGATCGGGGGTGTTGTTGGCGTCCCTAACCCCACACTGTTCAAGGGTCGGCTATATTTCTTATTTAGTCACACCGGAAAATATAAGATATTGCCAGGTTTTAAAAAAAATCCACCAGTGCTATATATCAGAGTATTGCTTTTTTTTTTTTTTTTTTTACCTTGTCCAGTAATCTTAATTATATCAGAGGGAGCAAATATGAATTGAAACATTTTTTTTTTTCTTTTTTTTTTTTTTTTTACCTTGTCCAGTAATCTTAATTATATCAGAGGGAGCAAATATGAATTGAAACATTTTTTTTTTTCTTTTTTTTTTTTTTTTTTTTACCTTGTCCAGTAATCTTAATTATATCAGAGGGAGCAAATATGAATTGAAACATTTTATTTTCTCTTGTTTTTTCTTTTTTTCCTTTCATTTCACATAGGCGGGAACTCAGATCAGCCTGGCAGATTTACCCTTTTCCAATGAGATTTTCACTCTGTGGTATAACTTGCTTCCTTCAAAGCAAATGCCCTGCAAAAAGAACGAAGATGAAACTGAGGATTCAGTATTTCAACCAAGCCAGCCACTAGTAGATGCTATAGACTTGGTGAGTCAGAGTTGGAGAAACACATCTCATTAAGACATTTAGATCTGCAGCCCATCTGAAATTAATCTTTGTGCAAGGTTTGAGGTAGGGGTCAAGATTGTTGTTTACCCATATGATAACCAGCTGACCCAGGATTGTTGAAAATACTTCCTTTGCTAGCTGCACTGCAGTGTCACATAAGTCAGATATCCTCTACGTGTGTAGTCTGTTCCTGAACTTTCTATTCTGTTCCGTTGACTTAGTCATCTATCTCTGTAGACAGTACAGTCATCTATCTCTGTAGACAGTACTGTGCTTTTTCAAAGTGAAGGCTTTCAATAATTCATCATTTAGAATGGTTTTTCTGAGGCTGTTTACAGATAATTGCTATCAGATTAAGGAAGTTTCCTTCTCTTTCCAGTTTGCTAAGAGCTTTATTATGCATGGATATTGAATTTTATCAAGCATTTTTACTGTATCTCTTAAGAAGATTACGTGGTTATCTTCTTAAGATTATTCTGTTAATGTAGTGGATTATACATTGATTGACTTTTGAATGTTAAATTGCCCTTGGATTCCTGGAATAAAACAGATTTCATTGTGGTGTATTTTATATGAATTTTTATACATATTCAATCATAGAGAATATTGAAATTTGCATGTGTTCAGTTTTAGTAAAAGTTCCATGTGCTCTTTCTGCAGGTCAAGTTTGTTAATTTTACTTTTCAAATCTTCTGCATTTACTGATTTTTCAGTTTGCTTATTTTATCAATTATTAAGAGGTATAATAAAATCTCCAATTTGTGATTATAAATGTCTCTTTCTCCTTTTAGTTCTATTAATCTTTGCTTTATGTATTTTGTATCCAGGCTATTAGGTGAATATAAATTTAGCATTATGTTGTATCTTTCTGTTCAACTGACCTTTTTGTCATTATAAATTATCCCCCTTTATCTCTGATAACACTTTTTGTTTGGTATCAGTAAAGCTGTATCAGTTCTCTTTTGGCTAGCATTTGCATGGTTTACCTTTTATTATTCTTTTACTTTCAACCTTTCTGAGTTCTTATATTTAAAGTGTTTCACCTGTAAGCAGTACTTAGTTGGTTTTGATTTCTTATCCAGTTTTTAAATCTTCATCTTTTAATTGAAATATTTCATTTATTTACACTTAATGCTGTTAGTGATATATTTGGCTTTGAACCTGTCATCTTACTCTCTGTTTTCTTTTAGTCCTATCTCTGTTTCTTTTTTTCCTTCTTTTGGATTAATCAAGTATTTTTAAATTTTGGTTTTTCCTTCTCTTAGACCATTAGTATTACATTCTTTTCTTTTTTGCTGTTTCCCTGATGATTACATCATGCATCCTTGACTTAGAAACTGTGTTAAATTAATGCTTTTGCTTTTTTTCAGACAGCACAAAGATTTTTTTTAATTGAAATATATTTTAATTAATGTATTTTTAATTGACATATATACACTAATACGTATAAAATGGATAACTAATAAGAACCTGTATAAAACAATAAATAAAATAAAATTCAAAGATTCCAAAAAAAAAAAAAAAGCAGCTGTTGGATTGCCTAAGGTAAAACTCATGGATGTATAATATTCTCTCCTGTAAGATTACTTACAAGAGAAATAGTGCTAGGGAAAATAGGTAGATGCAATGAAAAACAAATTAGGACTCAAAGTGAAACATGTAAAAATTTAAACAGCCTGATATTTTAAAATTTCTATATAATAAGAAGGCTTCATTGACGACTGTGTGTGTGTGTGTGTGTGTGTGTGTGTGTGTGTGTGTGTGTGTTTACAAGCAACACTGCCCAGTTGGTCCAACAGTGGAAGAATTGACACTGATACGCCGTCAAACAAACACCTTTCTCAAGACACTTTCATTTGCTCCATCCCTAAAAAAAAAAGAAAAAGAAAAAGAAATACATTATTATTTTTTTTTTTGATGTGCAAAGATTTTTAAAGACTTAACTCCATGATTCCCTTTCCTCCTTGTGTGCAATTATTGGTCATATATTTTAGTTACATTTGTTCTAAATCCCACAAGACATTATTATTATTGTTTTATTGACAATCAGTATTTACTTAGATTTTCCTATATCTTTACCCTTTCTGATGTATTCTTTTTTCCTTTCTGCATTATTGTGCTTCCAGTTTGGGTCATTTTCCTTCTGCCTGGAGAATTTTCTTTAGTATTTCTTTTAGTACAGGTCTATCGGCATCTTTGTTTTGATTTCATTTGTGAAGGACTTTTTTCCCTGCATATTCAGAATTCTAAGTGAATAATTATTTCTCTGAACACATTAAAAATAACATGTCATCTGGTTTCCACTGATTCTGTTCAGCTGTTGGAGGAGTCTAATTGTTGGTCCTTAAAAGATATTACATCTTTTTTCTTTCACGGTTTGTAAAATTTCCTCTTTTTCTTTGATTTTCAGCTATTTCACTCTGATGTGCTAATGTGTTTTTCTTTGTGTTTATCCTAGGGAAATTCTCCATTGTTTCGTCAGTTTTCTTGAACATATTAATTATGAAGTTTTTAATTCCTTTTCTACATAACCGTAGTGTATGGATCACCTATGGGTCTGCTTCTTTTGCTTCTTATTTTTCCTGGCTTTCAGTCATTGGGCCCTGTTTATCCAGTGGAATGCTGGGTATTATGTACGGATTGTAGAGGACCTGGCTGATAGCTTCCTCCAGAGAGGATTTAATATTCTTTGGAAGGCAGATTACAATATGGGCAGATCACCTGGATCACCTGAGGGACCTGCATTCCAATTTTTCTCTCCCTAGGACCATGAGGCAACTGAGGTATCTGCTTACTGTTTAGCCTCCTAGCAGCTGGTTTTGCTTTCTCAGCTTCTCGCTCTGCACGTATGTAGCTTAGGAAGGGCGAATGTCCCAAAAGAAATATTGTGCAGAATATTGGGCTCACTTCACAGTTCATTTTCTCTGGCCCTTTGTATGCTGGCTACTTTGTCGCCAGCTCAGTTTTCATCTCCGCATCCTCCCATCACTGTCACAACCCTGGGCAGCCACAGTCTGTCAGCCTGTGTGCCTCACCGCTGGAACTGGGACCTGCCCCCCAGGGCAGAAGAGTGGCAGTGATGGTCCCTTCACCTCCTTGCGTTTCCCTTCGCCCTGGGATCTTGGTCCTCGAGTGCTCATTGCCTTTGTTGCTCTCCATTGCGTTAAAACAGCTGGAATTTTTTGTTTGTTTGTATTTTTCTTTTTATTTTACTTTATTCAGCCTTCATATTTATTCTCAGCAGGAGAATTGGGTCTCATACCTCTTCTTTTTCACAACTAGAAGCATAAGTCCCCATCCGATAAGTTTTTCAATCATTTCTTGGAGTATATGGTGTTCATTGCCCTGTGTTTTACCTTCTCCAGGATGCAGTGTCAGCCTTACTTGCAAGAACATCGGCTGAGCTGTTGGCTGTGGAACAAGAATTAGCACAAGAAGAAGAACCAGAGCAGGAGGAAGAGCAGAGGGATCCAGATGGAGATTGGTAAAACAGAGATTTCCTTTTGCTACCGGGATTGCAAAGAGGACGTGTTTAGATTCTCAGAAGAAACCTTCAGGGAAACCTTTATAGGTTTAGATCTTATTCTGGAATTAATGGAAAGTAGTGCAGCTTCAGGGGGCTGCCCCTAGGGAAAGTCTTTCCTTGGTCATTAGAGACTTGAAAGGGGTAGTGGCGAGTTTGCGGACAAGCACACGAGCGAGATTCTTTGTTCTTGCTTCAGTAATCTTGACACTATTTCTTGGGCTTTTTTTTGGTTTTAAGTCTAAACTACCTATTTTGAAGGGTATGGTAGTTTATTTCAGAGTCATAGATAAATTTAAAAACTGACTCTTTTTCTACAAACTACCAGAAGTACCATTTAGGCTCTGGGAAGTCAAAGCAGATATTTAGAAAATAGCTTCTGAAAAGCTCTTTTTCTGTTTGTTGCCACTTTCACCTTCTTTTTCTGTTTCTTCTCATTTTTCATACCTCATTGTTTTTTAAAAAAGAAAAAAAAAGGTTATTATAGCGTTTGTCTAGATTCACATATGTATAAAGAACTATCTTTCCAGGTCTGCACTGTTTTCTCTAAAACAAATTTTAGTGAATGCATGTTTTTTTAGTATATATGTAAAGTCATTTGGATTAATTTTGTATGTATTGTTGCTTATTCTGTTATGTTTGAACTACTGTTGACACATATGCATATACATATATAGCAGCATTTGTGTTTATGTGTGTATATATAAAACTTCTTACAAACTTGGAGTGACAGGATATAAATAACAAAATTGTGGACATTTGGAAGGAACAGCTTACTATAGTGATGTGAAAAGCAGATATACTTTGTTCTTATCAAAAGTCCTTTATAGTGAATAAAGTTCAGAGCACCAAAAAAGAAAAGTAAACATGAGAGTGATTATGAGGTTCATCATATCTTGAAATACTGAGCCTTCCTTGCATATGTAAAATACGCAACTTGTTTCACCCACATTTCAAAAAGTGCGCTTAGAACGTAATCTAAAGGAATTGATAACTTACAGTCCTCACTGCTAGTCCCCCTGTGTTCATTTCATGACCAGGTGTTTAACACCTAGGCTGTTCCAATCTGTCAGTATATCACCAGTCACTTGACTTTTCATTATCAGTGGAAAAAAATGTTCCCATTATGAGAATATGAAACTCAACAAAGAGTGAGATATTCTTACCCATCCTGGTACTCTTGCTTTCCTGTCAGTACAATTTATACAGAATATAAACCGTATTTGTATTCTGGAGCCTCACTTGTAGTGCCATCCAAGCCCAGGCCATGGCTTTTGTTAAAGACAAGATCATAGACCATTCAGAGTCTTCTGTTAGTTCAGTAGTAAGACTCCTCTACCCAGGGTTCCACCTCTGCTAGACCATGAGCACAGTTGATAATGGATATTTTTATTCACTCTTAGCAGAGAGTCACTGCATTCTATTGTTTGAATAATTTTACAATAAATGAACAACTGATACCAAATTATATTATAGTGAATGTCAGTATTTTCAAACCGTGGGTTAAACTTTATATGTGATTTTTTAGCGTATTTCTATTTAATATTTAGGAATTAGGTCAAATTTCATGAATTTAACTTTTCAATACGAAATTATGATGATTTTGCTTCAGATTTCTGGAGAGTAGGGTGATAACTTTATTTCTCATGAGCATTTTAGTAAAAGTTCCAGCCAGAGAACTGGCTTGAATTGTGATGTGTGAGTCTGTTCATCGCCCAGATAACGGGTTAACGTGCCCAGGTTGCACCGATCACAGAGCACACCTGCTTGACCCTGAATGGTATTGTGTGTTGTTTCACCCATAGGTTAACCATGCAGAGAGAGGCCTCCTCTGATGAAATTGTGGCTGAGGAAGGGGCTGAAGTGAAATTGGCAGAGGGCAGTTGCTGTGCAGAAGATGTAAGCTCACGCCCGAGTGTGCCTGAGATGAATGAGGACACAAGTACGACAGAAAACAACTGTGCCAACGACCTTGGGAGTCAGCCACCTGCAGGAGTGCCCGCCCTGGTGAGTGATCTCAGCTGTCCCCTCCTGAAACTGGTCTCCTAGAGGCACCACACAGACCAAGTCTGTCTCTTCAGCTATAACTCCATGTTAGGATTTTGTGCCAAAGCTGATCAGGATGGGCGTTTGTGGGAGTAGACCATAAGAAACATTGTAAATGCCTTAACCTTTTCAAATGGGCCCCAAATATTCATTCTCCAATTAAGTTTCATATAAGAAGATAAATAGTGGCGTTTAGGGCTTCCCTGGTGGCGCAGTGGTTGGGAGTCCGCCTGCCGGTGCAGGGGACACGGGTTCGTGCCCCGGTCCGGGAAGATCCCACGTGCCACGGAGTGGCTGGGCCCGTGAGCCATGGCCGCTGAGCCTGCGAATCCCGAGCCTGTGCTCCGCAACGGGAAAGGCCACCACAGTGAGAGGCCCACGTACCGCAAAAAAAAAAAAAAAAAAAAAATAGTGGCGTTTATCTCTCTGTAAATGTTCTGTGAATATTTACTGAAAGCATTTTCAGAATTTCCTGAATAACACCAGGATGCCTACTTAATTGTATTAAGTTTCATAAATGTTATAAGTTTATTTCAATTTCAAACATGAGGTAAACGTGTAAAGCTCATTTTGGTTAGATGGGGCTCTGATTGAAACCAGTTCAGGAAGGTGGCAAATGACTCGGTTTAGGCACAGATGCCATGTTACTAAGCAGGTAACTTTGCTGGTTAGTGACAGACATGTTGAGACTGCCATCCCCAAAGGGGGAAACTCATTTTCAACGTTTGAGGATGCTGGCAAACTTGGGAGTTTAGAAAATAACAGTTATTTATTTCTAAGAAAAATAATGTTATACCCTGACTGAAGACTTCATGTGTGTACATATATATATTTACATACATACATACACACACATATACATACATACAGTCGGCCTTCTGTATCCGCGGTTTCTGCCTCCACGGATTCAACCAACCGCGGATAGTAAACAGTACACGATTGGCTGAATGCGAGAATGTGGAGCCCCAGATACAGAGGGCCAGTTCTGGGACTTGAGCGCCCACAGAGTTTGGTGTCCGGAACCAATCTCCCACGGATACTGAGGTATGGCTGTATATATAATTGCATGTTCTGCGTAGACCTGAGGTTTAACTAGTGTATTTTCATTTTCTTATATTTAGTTACTTTTATCGTTTACTCTGAAAAAAACTAATCAGAAAGTTGAATAACGTTTAATGATGAAGAATTGTCAAATAAGCTTCTTTATAGAAGTACATTTACCCTCTGTAAATCTAAAGCTTCCTTTTTTTAGGTCTAATCTGTTAGCGGTGGTGCTGCCACTTATAGGTAACCCTGTTGGACAGTTATTATCCTACCCTACCTGAGGGTAACTTCCTAAGAACTAAGTAGAAAACCACCTTCCCATCAGCAGAAAGACAAAGCCTGTCTCACAGAAGTGGCCCTGGTGCTAGATGAGTCTCTTGTAAGATTAGGTATTTCTTTCATACTTAGAAGAAAGGAGCAAGAAACGTCTCTCCCCTCCTGACAAATTGCTGACTTCTAGGTTGATAAAGAGACAAATACCGACGAGGCGGGCAGTGCCAGTGTGGCGGTCCGCCCCAAAGACCGCAGCGGCCTGAGCGCCCGGCAGCGCCCCTTCGTGCGGAGCAGCGTGATCGTGCGCTCGCAGACCTTCTCCCCCGGCGAGCGGAGCCAGTACGTCTGCAGGGTAAGGCGTCTGCGGGGTAAGGCGTCTGCGGGGTAAGGCGTCTGCGGGGCGGGCATGTGCAGGGTGAGGCATGCAGTGCTCTTAGGGGGCTGCCGCCTCTCCCCGCCCCGTGCCAGGGAGTGGCCCGTTAGTGACAATAGACAGTGCCAAGGGATCTTCAAACTCGACTACAGATTCTAATGGCTAGAAATGCCATAAAATATACATAAAATATCACACTCTTAATCGTTCTTTTTAGTTTGGGTGGTGGAATTTTTTTCTTTCCTTTCTTTCCTCAAATTTAATGTCTCTTTGCTTCTAATGCCATTTATTTGGCAAATAACTGACATTAAGGACCAGGCTGCTAAGTCTGTCTGGACCTAAGTGTGTATTTAGAAACTTAAAGTGACTCAAGATTTATGATGTCTTGTATATTTCTGCTGTATATCATGCATGCTTCAAACCATGTTAGTCGGGCTTCCCTGGTGGCGCAGTGGTTGGGAGTCCGCCTGCCGATGCAGGGGACGCGGGTTCGTGCCCTGGTCCGGGAGGATCCCACATGCTGCGGAGTGGCTGGGCCCGTGAGGCATGGCCGCTGAGCCTGCGCGTCCGGAGCCTGTGCTCCGCAACGGGAGAGGCCACAACAGTGAGAGGCCCGCGTAATGCAAAAAAAAAAAAATTTAAAAACCATGTTAGTCCTGCTGAGTCAAAAATTGTGAATTGGGTTTTAGGATAAAAGTCGCCTTTATTAATGCCTCCAGACACTCAATCAGATTCCTAGTTCTGTGGAGAATATTATTTGATTTGCATCAGTTTACCGAATTCTAGTTCCATAAGTATTTATGATTTATAGTAATTTAGATTTAACATTATAAAGTGGGTTAGAAAATACTTTCAGAATTCTAAACTTATTCATTCAGTTCACCAAACATTTTTATTAAGCACCTGCTATTTATTAAGCACATTGCCGGATCCGTGGGATTCGTCCATGAACCAAAGACCCAGAGCCCTGTCCTTGCGGGGCTTATGTTCTTGTGAGTTGAGCCAAACACTAAACATGATGAGTAAGCTGTGAAGTCTCTTGGGCAGGGACCAGTGCTATGGAAAACAGTAGAGCAAGTTAAGAAGGGATGGAAATGTTGAGGACGAGGGTCGCAAATTTAAGTAGGTTCAGAGTAGACTTCACTGAGAAGGTGACGTTTCAGCAAAGGCCTGAAGCAGGTGAGGGAGTGAGTGTGGGCTGCCTGGGCTGGGCGTGTTCCCAGTTGTACATGCTGTGACTCCACTCTGACCTTGAGCTCTGTGCATTACACAAACCTTTCCTTTAAAGAATGGATAGTGCATATTAGCTAAAAATACAAGGGATAATTTTATTTCAAACTGTATATGATTTTCTTAACAAATGACTTACGATAACTGTAACCAAAAGGCAATTATTTAAAGAAAATCAAGTTATTTAAGAAAAGCAAGAAAACAGGGAAAAATTTGTTTGGGGAGGATTTTCTTAAAGAAATAAACTACCTTCTTTCTGTGATGAAGTTCTCAATTCCAAGCTTCCTCTAGCACATTGGCACTCACTGATTTCCTTTTCTTTTCTTTTTTTATTTTTTTCAATCCTTTGCTGCCAGTTAAATCGAAGTGACAGTGACAGTTCAACCCTGGCTAAAAAATCACTATTTGTGAGAAACTCCACCGAACGGCGCAGTTTGAGAGTCAAAAGGGTATGTATTCCCTCAGCGGCATCCCGCTGTCCTGGACCCACCCGGCGTTTTGCATATCAGAACATGAGCACCAGGACTGCTGGGTGTCCTTGCTCCGTGCTCTTGGGTGCTGGGATGAAGCCACTGGGATTACGGAGACACAGCTGTTGTGTCAGTTATGGAGAAGGATGTGCTGGAGAGCATTCATTCATCACCGGTGTGGAACCTCTGATAATGAAGGGTAAATCCACTTTGCAGCGTGGATGGAGACAGGCCTGCCGAGTCGGGGGGAGCACCTCTGCTGCCGGCCGCCTGGTCTCCACACCACGGCCAGCTCTTGAGTAGCCGTGGGGAGAGTGTAACACCCGGTGCCTTTCGTGAGGGGCAGACGTTCTGGAAAAGGAGGACACGGTTTTAGTAGCTTGCTTAAAAACAGATATTTTTAGAAGATTAAGATTAATGTAGATGGAAAAGCTCAAGCCAGGTTTTCCTGGAAGCCAGAGGTCTCTTGATGAGCTCAAAAGGGACGAATTCTAGATAAATTACAAGGTTGGGCCATTCAGAAATTCCTGTTTATTTACCAGCAGCTGAACTAGTAATGGAAAGTTATTTGTTTACTGATAATTTGTTCCGTGCTAATTTCCGAAGCTGCTTTATTTCGGCTTAAAGCATGGTGTTCAATAAAAATGCAGCGCTGTGCACACTAAGCTCTGCTGTGACAGGCAGGACCTCCCTGCCTGGAGGAGGTCTTCCAAGGGCACACGGGCGACTCCAGGTGCAGATAGAAGGGCGGAGGGAGCTCACCTGGTCGGGAGAATCAAAAACGCTTCGTGGGGAAGGTGTCTGGCCTTGACACCCATATAAAATTTCTAAAGAAAGTGGTAGCTTTGTTTCAGGGATGGAGATGGATACTGGGTGCTGTTGGATGGATACTAGGTGGCCTGACATGGCACAGGGGCAGAGAGGCACATTCAGGGGATGAGGAAGGACCCAGCTCGGCCAGGCTTGGGCCCTGTGGGTGGGAGTGAAGATTGGAGGGTAAGTTGAGTCACTCTGGTTTAGTGCCGCTGTAGGCAAAGTACTGGATGTGTGACTGGGCAGCATGTAACTTCCTGGTTTAACTTCCTAGTTACTTGACAGTCCTAAGCATATTTCTTTTTTCTAAAGGTAAATATGCAAGCATTTCTTTAACCTCAGCATTTTCAGGACCTTTTGAAACAGATCTTTCAGATTACAAAACTTTGTGCTTTAAAAAGCACCTAAATTTCCATCATCTTGAATGAAAATTCGTCTCAACTCTTTTCTAAGTCCCCTGCATTTTTAAAAGCATATACTTTTAGAGGATGGTAGCACTCTTCAGAGAACTTTTAACCAGCAGTGTTTATGAATTGAGTGGAGCTGAAAAACAGTCGGGTTACTGATAAACTTAGTTTAATCCTGAAACACTGTTTAGGAGATGACTGTTAATAGCTTTTAAAGTGGGCAGATAGAGTTTGGTAGAGGTGAATGGGGAAGTGTATTCTGATTTAGGAATTATAGCATGAGAACCATGTAGAGGTGAAGAGAACAGAAGCATCTCCAGAGATCAGTGGAAGGCTCCCTGGCTGGGAAGGCGGCAGCCCGGCCAACGAGGCATGAGGTTAGGGGGACCCATCGCCACATCTCTCCCCAGTTCAGCGACACCACACTGACAGCCTGAGAGCAGTCATGGCGGGGAGCATTGACACCAAGGAAATGGGCAGATCTTACAAACCAGCGAGCATGCTGTTACACACTTACCAGCAGGCCGTGCCCACGGGAGTCTTTAGAAAGCCTCCAAGTACCTGACAACTGGGAAGGATTTCTGATCTAGAAAACATGAGTAGTACAGTCGAAGAGAGTGTGTGTCTAGATGATTCTTCTGTGTAATAAGTTTGTTAGAGCAGAGGTTGAACAAAGGGAAAGCTGCTAATAAGAACATTAGAGAGTGTTGCAGCAGGATATGTCGGGCAAGGAGAAAGGGGAATCCGAGGAGACAATGAAAGCCATTCAGACCTGGGCTGCGGCTCTGAAATGAGAAGGGGGACAGACAGGCCTCTGCTTCCCGTCTGTCATGAGCACCACCATTGTTCCAGGCCTTCCAGCTGGAATACCTGTCAGGCCTGAGTCCTGCCGTCTTGTACCAAATAGTACCCGTCTTTATTAGTAATCTCTTATTTTCCATTCCCACTGCCAACAGTCCAGGCAAGAAATGCCCTCCTTGTTTCCCTCTGCTCAGGGAGTCCTGCCCAGCCTCATTTGAAGGCCTTTCCTCAAGCGAGTCTGACCCAGCCCTGAGTGATCTCTCCCTCCCCTGACTTCCTGTGACACAGAGGCCGCCACCAGCGGACATGCATTCATACATATTCAGTAATTACTTCTTGATAAATGGATAAGCTTGGCCCCAGAGAGAGCACAGTGATTCAGGGGTGAAAGTACTGAATAGATATTAAGCGATGGGAAACCGAGGAAGGAGTCAAAACCCTAGCTCCCCTGAGCAGCTGTGTCCTGGCCAGTGCATGCAGAAATGATCAGAGAGAGGTGTGAGCTGCGGGGACGCAGGTGCATGGCCTGAAACGGAGCAGATGTGAATTTCTTATGATTTGTCGTTCACAGAGGCCAGCTTCGTGCAGTAAATTGGTCCGGCTAAGCTAGGCTCTACCACGGTGCCAACTTCAAAACTCTCTGCGGTTTAAAACAATAAAGACTCGTTTGCTGCTTACCTGCGTGCTCAGTGTAGGTGGGCCGGGGGCTCTGCTTGTCTTCCTTCAGGACCAAGCCCCCCGGCCTCCCCCCTCTAGGCCTTTGCTGCCCCTGTAACAGGGGTCGGGAGGTGCCACATCACTGCCACTCACCCCTCATCGGCCAAAGCAGCAAGCAGGGATAGTGCCCTCCTGTTAGGTGACCACCGACGTAATGAGGGTGTCATGTTGTTTCCAACCCTCCAGACGGTGTGCCAGCCGGTGCTCAGAAGGGCAGCACCCGAATGCCCCGTGCGAACCTCTCTGGACCTGGAGCTGGACCTGCAGGCCTCGCTGACCCGGCAGAGCCGCCTGAATGACGAGCTGCAGGCCCTGAGGGGCCTGAGGCAGAAGCTCGAGGACCTGAAAGCCCAGGGCGAGACGGACCTTCCGCCAGGTGTGCTGGAGGACGAGAGGTTCCAGAAGCTCCTGCGACAGGCCGAGAAGCAGGTACAGAGCTCGGTGCCGCCGTGAGCTCCGGGGCGCTTACGTGGAGTTCACGTTGCCTAAAGCCCGCCGGGTAGAAGGTACTCGGCCTACACCTCAGTCTTGCTCGAGTCTTCAAGTCCTTTTTCTAGAACTTAGAACACATTTGTTCCCACTGTGTTTCCTCCTGCCTGGTGGCAGCCCTTGCATCCAATGATAGTGAAGAAAGAGCCCACAAAGCAAGGCGCGTTTGTACCATTTTGAGAATAATCTGATTCCCTTGAGTACAGATTTTTCTCATTTTTATTTTTACCAACTCTGTATGTCTAGATAGATTACTGGAGTTATGTGCCTTTTTTTCTCACCCCTGAAGTTTGTGCTCACCCGCTCTGTGAAAGAGAAGCTGTTTCCAATTGTGCGCCTTTCATTCCAGCCACAGAAGTTGGTGAGAGCCATTGGCTTCTCTCCTGCTTGCTCTTAAGCCCCACGTCCACTCCTTATACACATGCGGACACACTGGTGCACATGCACACACACACATGCTGCCCTTTCACATCCACCTTCCTCCCCGCCCGCAGTTGGGGATTTGTGAGATTTTCAGCACCGTGGCCATAAAATGCCTAATGATGAGCAAACAGCCTGCCAATTGCCATAAAAAATACGGCTCCCAGGGAAACTGTGAACGGAGTCCAGCAGCAGAGCGCAGATCTGCCTGCCTTGTTAGGAAAGCTGTCAGGCCTCTGCATCACTCTCCATAACCTTCCTCCTTTGTGGCTGAAAGTCTGTTTTGTAGCTCAGAATAAAAACTGAATCAGTTAGTGTCCTCGTGTATAGTACAACCCCCTTAGGAAGCAGAGCAAGAAGCTCAGGACTGTAATTAGGACGGATTGTGTTCCTTACTCTGTCAGGCTTCTTAACGTGACGGTAAATAAATCACTGGACCTTCCTGCAGGTCCGGCCCCCATCACGTAAACTGAAGGTTAATCACACTCTCCTGGAATCTGGGGCATAAAAACCAGCTTCCGATCCTCCTGAACCAGGCAGCTTATCGTGACTTGTTGGGTGAGAAGGAGAGAGGCGTGCTGAGGAAGGGCTGGTATTTTTCCAAAGGAGCCTCAGGTTGCTTACAAAGCAGAAATTTCTTTTTCTTCCTCTGAGTGTTTCCCTGTCAAACTGCCAGTTCTGTGACGCTAGGCTTCTTAAAAGCTTAAAATAATACAGATGTTAACATTTGTAAAAGTTAGAATCTGCTAAGAAAATTATATGTCAGAAATATTAATACAGCTCATTCAACAAAAGAACTCGGTGATTACAGTGAAGTGCTCAGCACTGAGCCTCGACTGCCTGCAAAGCTGGCGACTATCGATTATTAACACCTGATGAAAATTTTATGATATATTTTAGCACCCAGACTTTTGGAGGAAGATATAGACCCGGGTACAGATATAAATACATAAACACAGAGACAAATGGAGTCTGCAGTAAAGTGTGTTCTTACTCAGCAGGGAGAGGAGGCTCTTCGTGTGTTGCGTGGTGGTCGGTCTTATTTTGCACAGAACAAAGCCAAGTTTCAGAGTGACTCTGCAGCCACCACATAAATGCTGGTAGTTGAAAACAGCAGCAGCCAGCAGGCTACTTCGAGGGACCATCTTAATAGTGTGTACAGGGGATAAAATAGGCCTCACACTCCCATTCATATGGAAGGGAACAAAATACCGAGCAGGATCCCGGGGGCCTGTTGTATCTCTGATCTGGTAAAATACGCTTTCTTGGGGAAACCGGGCCAGGTTTTCTCCCCTAAGTATATCCGGCATGCACCTTCCTTCGCTGGTTTTTCCTGATATCTCCGTTTGTTCAAGTCAGTAAGGAGATGGCCATTTTAAGATTGGTTTGTTCATCTTATAAGTTCCCCAAAATTAGAATAGCAGCAACATTTCAGTAGAATTACTAGTTTCCTAGTTGGATGTACCACATCGTGGTAGAAGTCATTTCTTTGTGTCTACTAAGTCAGTAGTTCCCAACCAGGCACCTAGTGAAAAATCATCCATTCGCTGAAGGTAAGACTTCACAAAGTAACTAAAATATCACATCTGTCCCCTTTGAATTTGAGTTACACAAATTCAGAAGCTCCGAGTGACAGCTCACCTATCTCATCAATTCCAAAATAATCAAGAAAGAACTGCTACTTAAATATAGGCCACTTTTCTAAACAAAATCATCCAAAACAAGGAGAGGAAAGGGGAGCAGTAAAAAATATCTGGAAAAGGGATCCTTTGTGGTGAAAAAAATCAGAAGTTACTGCAGTAGAGTATTATTAGCAAAGTACTAACTAGGTTATGCCCCATTGTAGTCTATTTAGCTTCCCGTAAAGTGGTGTGAGTATAACTGCATCTTCATCAGTACTTGGCTGAATAATAGTTTTTGTAAAATGTCATCTTTCCTAAAAGTGCCACAAGCATTTTTGCTTTCAAATTCAAACTGAGTTTAGTGTACTTTGTGTGTTGAGAATATTTTAAAATTTAGAAAGTTTTTTTAGTTAAAAAATTAACATGTAACAAAGCCAAATAATGCAGAAGTATATAAAGCAAAAAGTATTGATAGAAGTGCCCCTGAGAACATATGTATACATATAACTGATTCACTTTGTTATAAGGCAGAAGCTAACACACCATTGTAAAGCAATTATACTCCAATAAAGATGTAAAAAAAAAAAAAAAAAAAAAAAAAGAAGTGCCCCTGAGTCCCACTCCCCAGGGATGACCTCTGTTGACTGTTATATGTCCTTCCAGCTCTTTTTTATGCCATGTATATGTGTCAGTGTTATTTGGAAGAGTTATAGAAAACTAGGGTCTGAAGACATACTGTTCTGCAACTTATTTTTTTCCCCACTTAATTCTAGTCATGTAACATGAAATATTTGTATATGTTGCTGAAATTGATTGTTTTAAGGCATTTGTAATACACATTATGAATATATCATATCATATTTATTTAATCATAAATATATCATAACTATTTCATTATTCTACTAATGATACTTTCCCAAATTTCAGTCACAGACTGTGGAAGTGAGTACTCCTACACATTTTGGGACACCTTTCTTGTTTCAGTAGCGTTTCCAAAGCACCTAGTAGTAGAATTGCTGTTTGTATCCATTCGGCTGTGAACCAGTCAGACTGGTTCTTGTCTTTGTCTTGCCCCTTAAGCCGGAAGACCTTGCTCTTTACTATAAAGTTTATAGCTGCCTGTGTTAACAACACAAGCACAGCAGTCGGCTTTTTCAAGTGCAGAATGGTCCCAGTGATGGACCATCAGCTTGCTGCAGGCTACAGGCACCACCGTCAGCAAAGCCACTTTTCCTTCCGCCTCTTTGTGCCGACTAGTTAGTTCTGATCCCGAGCTGATCTCCCTTGTAAGACTTGAAGCTGCAAACACCAGTATTCTAAATTTCCTCACCCATTTCCTTCACAGGTCCGGCTGCCCCACCATGACCAGTGGCCTCCACTGAGCAGGAAATTCTGTTACCGTAGCGCCCCACTTGGGAGGTCATGGGGAGAAGGTGCCCAAATGAGTGGGGTCTCCCCAACCCCTGACTCAAATTAATAGTGTCCCCTCCCAATACACACGCCCGCCCCTCCCTGCCAAGGGCTGAGCGCAACTCACAACACGTCCTCCTGGGAGTAGAAGCCTCTGTGGGAACTTACAGGCTGGGACGTGCTCTGTCCTCTCCCTGGGATGTTTCCAGTCTGGTAGTTTCGAGAAGCGTATCACTTTGTAAAAAGCTCTTTGAGCTGCACACGCGTCTGTGTGCACTTTCTTGATATGTCAATTCTACTTCAGTAAACAGTTTTTAAAAGTGCTAAGACGGAAAAAAAAAGGGTTGAAAAGATGAATAAGAGGTTGAAAGTGTATTCTCCAAAATGTTAACAGTAGATATTTCTTGGACATGGTGCTGTAAGTAGTTTTTAATTTCTTTTTTGGTGGGTGGAGAGGGGGGCAGTTATCAAGTGTTCGAGATGTAACAAGATGATCCCATATTGCCTATGTGGTAAGATTTTTTAAATGCATTAACACACACTTGCCCCGACCCAGTAGCTGCTCCCTGTGGGCATGAGGTGGACGCATGGGTGTCGTCCTGCTGGGCTGGCCTCCTGACCTGAGCCCTGCGTCTTTCAAGCCTTAGAGCACACCTTTGGGAATCTCTAATTAATGTGCTGGGGGGCTCTTGTGTTTTCATTTCCTTACCAGGCCGAACAGTCCAAAGAAGAGCAGAAGCAAGACCTGAATGCAGAGAAGCTGATGAGGCAGGTCTCCAAGGACGTGTGCCGGCTTCGGGAGCAGAGCCGGAAGGTACCCCGGCAGGTGCAGTCCTTCAGGTGAGCGCCTGTGGGACGTGCGGGGCTGTCCCCCGAATCACGCAGGCCTGCACCGCAGGGTGGCTGGCAGGTGACACGTGTTAGGATGTGGGACACCAGGCCCTCTGCTTCCGGTTTGATGTGTGTGTTTCCCTGAGCTCACAGACCCTGCCGGCCACAGTCCTGACTCCGTTTGAGCCCGGCTCCCCGGGGACCCGGGGTGTCCCCAGCTCTTAGAAGCACTTAGACATCTCATTGAGAAATCTTAACGCAGAAAACAAAAAGGTACAGAAAAGTCACTTGTCTTCAGGGTTTTGCTGTTCCCTCCCTGGACTGTTCCTCAGGCCCCGTGAGCCATGCACAGGGCTGGGCCCGGGCACCCAGAGAAGGGCAAGCGCCCCTGGCCTTACGGAGGCTCCGGTCTGTGTGAGGGGGGCGGGCAGTGCCATGCGGAAGGAGCCCCCTGAAGGCCGGGCGGGGTCCCGTGAGGGCAGACGCTGGGCCTGCTGGAGCGCATGGGAGTCTCAGAGGCCGTACAGGCTGGAAGAATGGGTACGCGTGTGTCAGGCACCAGGGGTGGTGGTTTTGGAAAGGGAATTGGGGCAGCAGGGACCGGCAGGGACAGAGGCACAGAGCCTTAAATGTCGGTGCCAGCAGGTGAGCCTGTCGACCGCACAGGACCCCGTGTGCTGTGTGGAAGCTTCCAGAGCTGGCTTTGAGTGGTGGGGGACCAGGAGGCGTCTCCAAGCGCAGGAGTGAGTGAGGGCGTTAGAGGCGTTGTGGAGAGCGGTCGGGCAGACCCTGGAAAGGGGAGGCCAGGCAGGCGATAGGAGGGTGACGGGAGGTGGGCGGACGGAGGGGCGCTGGGGGGCAGGGAGAGTTCTGCTTTTGGACGTACCAGCCTATCAGTTCCCCTAGGCCAGCTTGGGAAGCCATGGTCAGTAGATAAGTAGAAATAAAAATCTGAAGCCAGGATTAAGGATCAGATGGGAGATAAAAATGGGAGTCTTCGTCTCACATGTGGTGGTTCCACAACAAACATGGGTCTGACATCCCGGAAAGTGTGAGAAGGTGACCAGGACAGGAGACCGTCGAGATTAAGAAGGAATGGCCAGCGAGCTAGAAGGAGAGCTGGGGAGCGTGGTCCTGGAGCTGAGCGGGGAGGGTGACGGATGCTGTCAAAGCAACAGCAAAGAAGGATTGAGACACTCCCCAGGCTGGGGGCCACTGGTGACCATCCCGTGACAGTTTCAGTCAAGTGAGAGGGGGGCAACGGGAGAGGTGTGGTTTTATTGGTCTGGGGCGTGTGCGCGCGCGCTGTGGAGGAGCCTGTAGGAGCCTCTTGGGCTGAAGAGGGAGAAGCCCAAGGAGCATGTCTGGCGTGCGAGGCAGATGGGATATGGGGCGGAGAGGGCTCGTTAGGAAGGGATGGGTTTGGTGCCAGAGGGCGCAGTGGGAGTTCCTGCTGTCCTGAGTGAGTCGGGTGCGGGGGAAGGAGACGACGGGTCATGGCAGGCTCAGACTCTCTTTAACGTGATGGCTTATAGTGAAGAGTCAGCTTTTTCCTGTCTCCATTCAGCTCCAGGGTCGCTCTTGTAACTTTCAGAGGATGCTGCTCCTCGGATTTCTAGAACTGCAGGGTGGTGCGGGGAATCCTCTCGTGCATTTGGTGCAAGAAACACTGTCCAGAGGAGAAGTCATCCAACCTCAGCTGCTGCTAAAACCTGAAATAAATGTTTGTAAACACTCCCTTAGCACCCAGAGCCAGGCCTATCACCAGGCAGGTGACGAAGGGGAGGGAGATGGACCGGGATACGGCAGCTGCTCTGGAGGCACGCCGAGGCCTGGGACGCTCTCCCTGAGCTGCTCTCTCAAAGCCCAGGGCTCCCTGCTCTTCCGATTTGCCGAGGGAAGGTAGAAATCAGGAATTTTATGTGAAACATCTCAAGCGTAGACACTGACAACTAGTTTGTGTGTTTAAAAAGCACCGCGTGAGCCAAAGTAATTCGCTTGCGGGAAGTGTCGAAGCAAAGACCCCAGTTTTGGGTTCTGCCTTCAGTGACATCGTGACTACTTTCACTCGCCCCTTTAATTCTTAATTTTATCTCATAGAATTGAGCAAACGGAAAGGACGCTTGTAGCACAAAAGTAACTCTCCTTCCACCTTGCCCAGGGTTTTCATGCTTCCCTCCTTCTCTCTCCTTTCCTTAGAGGTAGAGCTTTTCCACCTCAGTTCTTGCATCATAACCCCACGCTCCTGCACCATCTCACTCCCAGTTTCTCGAAGGAGGGCCAGTGCTTTATTCCTCCTTAGGGCTTCCAGCGTGGCCCCACGTGGGGAAGCCCCCCAACAGCCTGTGTTGAGGGGAGACTGTTCGATGTGAAGGCTTCTTAGAGGCTAGACATACTGGTCCTGCCCTTGGCGGCTCTACAACCCTAAAACCTTACTTTCTTGACACTCTGCTAAGCTCTGAAAACCCTCCCGCCCGCTCCTTTCTCGGCCTCTCCCTCTCAGGTTGTTTCCACTTATCCCCGCGTCGGGATGCGGCAGATCTGCCTTTAAGATGGTCAGGTTCCTTCTCTTGCCTCATCTGAGCCCTGGTATCCATCGCTCATTATTCTCCCGTTACCTTAGCATGGTACTGAGTATAAAGAATTCTCCCCGGATCGTGTACTTTCCTGTGAGGATTCTGGCCCCTAGAATCCTCTAATCCCTGGTCTAGAAATGCTCAGACCTAGACTGACACGCTCCCTCCACACCCCCGCCCCAGTGGTTTAAAACCTGTCTGAGGTTGGAAATGCCTGTGTCGACCGGTGTTACCGTGGGTCAGAGCTGCCGTTCTCCTTTGTGTCCTTCCATGAAAAGGCGAAGACAGTCTTGATTTTAAATGGAGCTCTAGCTAAGGACAAGATCTCGCATCCGGGCCTGTGGAGACAGCGCTGGCGTCCTTGGGACTGCCTGTAACGGGCACAGGGCATTTTCAACGTCCTGTTGAAGTCGGTGTATTTCTCACCCCGGCTGCAGGGAGAAGATTGCGTACTTCACCAGAGCGAAGATCAGCATCCCGTCCCTGCCGGCCGATGACGTCTGAGTGCCTCGCTGACGAGATCGTGGTTTCACCTCTTCATCTCTTAGGGAGGGCAAAAGACTGAACGTTTTCTTGTTTGGGGTTGTGTTTTGGGGGGTTTTTTGTAATATAACTGTCAATTCTTAAAGAGCTTTTATTTCACATCAGATTTTCAACATGTTAATTTGTAAAGTACCTTGAATGTAATTCTTACATGTTTAAAAAAGAAAAAAGAAATCAGATAACCAAAACAGGATCATCTGGTACACAGATGTACATTATACGTGTATTGCCAATGGGCTGTATTTGGTAAAAATGGAATAGAGGCGGGACCCAGCGTGTATCCTATTGAACCGACTGTTGGGAGATAACTCGGTTTAGCAGCAGGCGGTTTTCGCTTTTCCTTTGTTTTCCCACGGGCGACTATGAAGCTGGCAGTGGCGCCAGGTGATACTTGGTGCTAGAGGGCAGCTCGTTCAGCGTGAGGTTGAACTTGAGCATGAGCTTCAGTGCAGAGTCCCGGGTCCACCTGAAACAGGTGCTGCGTTCATTTCCGTCACCTCTGTCGGAACACTTCGTTTCCTTAAAACAACTGCCTTTTTTTGTCCTTTTCTATGTGTCTAAAGAAAACAGAAACAAAATGCTGCGTGCAGGAAGGCAAGAATGCAAAGGAGCAGTGCTCCAGCCACACTACAGACCCTGTGATTTAGGACTTTAAGGGTAGGGAGATGAAAGCAGAAAGCTAGTCCTCCTGAAATACACTAAAATCAGCACGTCAGTGAGCAGCTGCTGCTTCTCACTCAGCCTGATTGTGCGTCAGTGTTCACACGTGACTGTCTGGCTTGCACCAGTCATGCTTCGTCCTAGGTGTGAGGATGGTACCAAGTGGGTGAAGGTAGGGGCCCAGGGTGCTGAGGACACACAGTGCTGGTACTGTGGAAGGAAACACATTAGCATCACTTGCTGAAACCAGGAACAGAGGAAAGGGTACCTCGATTGAATCAAGGTTGCCAAAAATTTTTTAAATACTTCAGTGAACAGATCTCTAACATTTACTAGAAATTCCTTTGCAGCTGTCATTTTTAGGGAATCCTATCTGTAACTTGTGGTAAGGAGTTGGGAGGCAAAGAGAAGAGAGTGACTGGGGAGATTATTAATTTGAAGTAAAAGCTGAGTCGTTTGTAAACAATAAATAAATATATATTCCAGACAAACAAGATGGAAACTGACGGAAGTTTCCTCCAGTGGAGAATTTTAGCTTACCCAACCCAAGCACTTCTTAAAAGAAACAAATCCCCAGGTTAGCTCTGCCAGCATAAAAGGCTTTTAAAAGAAATCGTTTTATGCAAGTTAAATCATCCATATTACTCGGTCTGTAATACTGGAAGAGGCAATGTTTGGTGAGCCATCTTATGTAACAAGTGAAATCATTTTTTTTTTGAGAGATGAAAACATCATCTTAAAGGAATGGACCCCTTAAAAAAAAGAAACACAAGTTCTATTCCTAAGCTAGAATCCTCATTGGTAAGAATATTTACTTGAAAGTAATTACACATGTTTTGGAAGGTTCATTTTATCAGAATCAAAATTCAGATCAAGCCATTTCTGAGCCTAGAACTGTAATGACTTTTTCCTAAGTGTCCCACCATTTATATACAAAAGTCTTTGAAGGAATAACTGGACATGACACTACTTTGAACAAAAACCAGCCTCATGAATTGACTGAGCACAGTCCTTGCAGGCGGCCCAGTTCATCCTGTTAGGTGACCAAGGAGAGCTGGAGGAAGAGCACCGTTCATCCTTGTCGAGGTCAAATGTGAAAAACAGAAGTTTATTTAATGTAGAGTTAAATGAAGGTCAGCTGTTTTCAGCTTCTTAGTTTGACCATGAAAATGTTTATAGGATTATGTGTGGTTGTACCGTACGATTTTATTTTCTTCATTTATTTATTTACGGTCTTATTTATGTTCTGTTTAATATATAGTTCGGTTCTGGCCATCTTAAATGTTTGACACAGAAGAGGCTATATTGGAATATTTACAGCTTTATAAATTCCATCAGATTAGCTGTTAACTTTTTGTACGACAAAGAGTTTCAGACAAGCATAAAAGAATAAAATCTGTCTCAGGCTGGTAGTTAGCAGTTGTGACCAAGATGCTTTTGGTTTTATTTTACAGCATTTGCTCATTTCTAACATGAGAGACAAACTTAATATAATCCTTTTTCACTCTTTAAAAACCAGCAATAGTGTTATGTATTTATAGGCAGCTTTTAACAATCCTGTCATATTTGTACTAACCCAAATGATTCACAGTGACAAAACACTTTAATAACTTGCTCACAAAACCATATGGACAACATGAATTTTAATATTATAAGTACTATTTTTTAAAGGTAGAATTTATTCTTCACAGGGTAAAAAGAATGTAATATTTAGTTCTCAAGTTAGAATTATCAGTATGTTATTACAATTTTGTATATCAGAATCTAAGTGTTACAGGTACAAAAAGAATATTGCTAGCCAAATGAACAAAGTTTAGCTGAATCTCTGTAGCATGCAAATCAAATAAATTTAAAATCTTTTTTTTTTGCTATTACTTTATATTGTATTAAATATCAAAAGCTCAGGACTGAACTAAATATTTAATCAGGTTAAATTCTGAATATGTTTCTGTTTTAATTTGTCTTGTTTGTAAAAGTATGCAAATACATCACATAGATTAACTCTGGTTTCTGCACTTTTCATGTGTTTGTGGGTGGAAAAAAATTCAGTGTGTTTTTTTTTTTTTAAAAAACAAAGATACAGGGCCTTCCCTGGTGGCGCAGTGGTTGAGAGTCCGCCTGCCGATGCAGGAGACACGGGTTCGTGCCCCGGTCCGGGAGGATCCCACATGCCGCGGAGCGGCTGGGCCTGTGAGCCATGGCCGCTGAGCCTGCGCGTCCAGAGCCTGTGCTCCACAACGGGAGAGGCCGCAACAGTGAGAGGCCTGCGTACCGCAAAAAAAAAAAAGAAAAAAGAAAAAAAAAAAAAACAAAGATACATATTACCTAATGCTTTATTTCAGTGTCATTTATTGTTCAGTGAATTTCCCTGACTGGTGCAAACACAAAAGTTTACTTGAACTATATACCAAACAAATATAAAATCTTTCATGAAGAATTCCCCAAGTTTGGTGGCTTCCCTGGTGGTGCAGTGGTTAAGAATCCACCTGCCAAAGCAGGGCACACGGGTTCGAGCCCTGGTCCAGGAAGATCCCACGTGCCGCAGAGCAACTAAGCCTGTGCACCACAACTACTGAGCCTGCACTCTAGAGCCCGTGAGCCACAACTACTGAGCCCCCGTGCCACAACTACTGAAGCCCAAGCGCCTAGAGCCCGTGCTCCGCAACAAGAGAAGCCACCGCTCGCCGCAACTATAGAAAGCCCGCGCACAGCAACGAAGACCCAATGCAGCCAAAAACCAACAAAATAAAATAATAAAATAAATAAATTAAAAAAAAAAAAAAAAAAAAACCTCCCCAAGCCAGCAGCTTGCTGTGAATAGTTCTTGGTTGGACCATATATATTGCTGATTTTTTTTTAAAAGGGGGTGGGGGGATCTGCCCACGCCCCCCAGTCCCGACCCACAGTCCCCTTGTGGCTGCACCATCTACCACAGAGCACAGGACACAAGCAGAAGCACGTTGGTGCGGTAGATTTTACATGAATCTTTAAAACACAAGACTGCCCTCCTCTGCTTCTGACACAGTAAAGAAGACATGAATGAATGGAAAAGTCTCCATAGAGGCAATGAAGTCTCCAATTTAAAAAGAGATGATGTGTCCCCGATGTGCACCTCTCAAGCTTTCAGAGAGCCAGCAATTTTTTTAATACAATCAGATGTCATATCTTTAAAATAAAAATAAGCAGCCAGACTTCAGTTTCAGTGTAATAGGTGATCTTAAACACTTGAAAGAAGTCAATGATGAGCAGTAACATTTCCAATTGCCAAATGATTCATCTTATTTTATTAAATAACACCTTCAGAAGATGTGTAGGTACTAACACAATGTTTTATTTACCGGTTCTGTGCAATCACTGAATCTATTTTAAAATTGAGAAAACTCATCCCCAGTAATGAGTATGATTACTGTTAAGTCTTGATTGGTTTTGGTCTCAAGAGTAGAAGATACAAGTGGTTTACCATCTTAGAAAGAAATGACAGTTTCAGAAGCGAAGGGAAAATGGATTTTAGAAAATCCAAAGCTTAGTGAATGGGTTACTGTGTAACAGGAAATCCTACCAAATCATCTGAGGGCACCGCTGATCCCTTCTGGCTTAGTTTCAGGTGAGTGGTTTTCATCTCCAGGTGTAGACGGTGTGGCGGCGTTTCTGCCACTGCATAGTGGCCGGAAGCCAGGGGAATCTGGGTCCCGCAGGCGGCCCAGTTTAGCAGACACCCTCCGAGCAGGAGAGAAAATCCAGCAAACCAGCCGATAAAGAGGGCCTCCCCAAACTCCCACCTGGGCACAATCTCGGGGATGGTCTCATCCCAGAACTCCTGGACTGTCCTGTGGGCGACCCAAGAGACAGGAACAAGGGCTGTGACACCTGCTGTCCAGAACAGAATTCCTCCCAGGATTAACAGCTGCTTCTTGACATCCTGCTGTCTCTCTCCAATTCTCAAGCAGTCCAGGCCAAACCCCGAGACCAGCAGGCCCAGGAATCCCAGGCCGTTTGAGAGGAACATTAAAATCCTGGAGATCCTGAGCTCAGCGGGCAAAGCCAGGATAGAATTGCATCCCCACTTCCTCTTGGGTGACGCAGGTCTGTCAGAGTCCCATGGTCAAGTTTTCCATTTCATTTAAGTCCAGGTTGAGATTTTTCCATGTGGCAGGTAGTTTGTAAGACAGGATAAAACCCATCCCAGCAAAAATAGTGAAATTCCCGCTAATTGTGCCACAGCTCTAAATACTAAAGCCATTATAAAATCCTGTGACCTTAGCCAGACCAACCCCTGCCTTTCAGTGGCTGTGAAAAGAAGTTTGACACTTGTGTTATCACTTGCAGAGCTCAGAACTATTTTTTCATTGTGTATATAAGAGGATTCTTGCCAGAGTTGCTATCGTTCAATTCTGTGTTGAATAGTTTTCAGAAAAGGATAGGGAA